CCTTACTGGTTGATGTTTACCTACTAGAATGAGGAGATTTCTTGGAAAAACTGCCCAGAGTTAATTACTTCATCAGTGGCACACACTTAAATAGCATTTTAAATTAATACTCTTAAAGACAGAAACAGACTATGCTTCGTACATGTGGTCAAATCAGCTACATTCAGTATAAATCCCAGTGAGATGTACTCATATGTAAAAACATATATTCTATCAATGAAAAGAAATCATTAAATACTGGGTTTTTTTTGTTTGTTTTTTTTCTCCACATGTTGGTATTGAACATTTACTGAAGGCAGAACTTCTGCCACTAAAAATCCTGTAAGATATTTATATTTTTATCCATAAGAAACAAAATTTGGGGTTTTGCTTCTCAATGTTTTAAAAATTAGTCCTACTTACTTAATTTAAGAAAGTGTGATAGCTTCTCCTGAGATTTAATGCAACCAAAAGAAAATAAAAAGTATTCAGAAGATGAACTCTTTTAAATGAAGCTGAAAGCTTCAGTAGATTTTAATTAGAATTGCATGATAAGTTTTACATATAAAGCATACCCATTCAAATTTGGCTTTTGGCCAGTTCTGCAAAAGCAAAATAACATTAGGAACTATCTTTTCAGTGCACTATTTTTTTTTCTGAGAAAAAAAATTACCAGTTAGCATGAAGTTTGTAAAACAAAGTCCTGTAATTAACTATGTGCTTTAGTTTGTTGTATTTTTTAATTAGGCTGAAATTGTGTTGAAGGATGAATACATTAATGAAGAGACCCTACCATTTCTGTTTGGCAATTGGTTTTTTTGGTAATTGCTCTATCCATTTTGTTTAGCAACTGCTGTTATCCCAGTATAAAATTTGGGTTTGATTTTTAAAAAATCCACAAAGCAGTTGTTTTTTCACTGACAGCGCTTCACTATCAGGCATTTGAAACCACTGCCACACAAGACCAGTGTCCCTCAAGTTTGTCTTTGGATACATTTCTAAGCATTTTTGCAGATGAAGTAATATTTCATTTTACATAATGATAGGAATTACACAAAAAATATCAGCTTCCAATTAGTTCAAAATTCAGATATGGAAAGGCAGGCTTCAAATGTCATTACCCATGTTATAGAAAAAAGTGGCTGAGATTAATATATTGGTGTGCTTCAAATGGGTACTTGGTGTCTCAGAAGGGATAATTTTTAAAATCCAGTATGAAAACAAGGTTCTTGCATGAGTTGGAAACTTGATAGTCTTGGGACAGATTTTGTCTGATCTCCTTTTCTCCCCATGATGTCTAGTACCAAACAATAATTCTCCAAAATAATTTCATCTCACAAACAATTTCATCCACAAATAGGTAGGAAAACGAACCAGATTTGGTCTGTTGCATCAAGAAAGAATGCTAGCATTAAGGTCACAGTACACTTAGTTCACATCTGTTCACCTTTACCTTCCAGTTCTAAATGTGTTTGAGAAGTGGGTTTTAACATGGGGTTTTGAGAGGTGGGTTTTGACACCTCTCCAGGCACATCTTGCTGACTGTTGGTATTTGCTCCTCTCTGTGAGGTAAGATACATTAAAGAATGAAGAAAATTAACATCTGTCTCTAAAGTGAAAATCTAAAGTCCTCCAAAACCTTGGAATTTGAAATTTCTAGTGTTTTGACTATAAACTCATGTTTTGATGTTTACCATACACATGCATTTTAATTTTGTTTTGCACGACACTACTGATACTATTCAAGCACACATTGATGTCTCACAGTCCTACCAACTGCAGAGTTTTACTGAACTTGCAGAGTTCAGTAAAATTGCGTGTATTAAAGAAGCCTTATATTATATAGCGTATTTCGCTTGTTCTGTGAAATTTGGATGTCTGTAATATTCCTTAAATCATCAAAATATTGACTGATAAAACTTCTGTTTGTCTCTGTTAGGCTAATTATAGCTCTGCAGTGCTTGGCATTGTGATTTGCAATAGACTGTAGACATCACATCCTAGTTATCACAAAGGCTTATCCAAGAGTTTGATTTGATAGACCTCCGCTGATTTATATCAAAAGTTAATTTTAAACTTAATTGCTGTAAGTACCCACTTAATGTATTTCACTTGCCCTGAGGTACCCTAAGCTTTAATGCGTGGGTATTCCTTTCATCTTTATTTTAATTCTTAAAAGCTTTTTGTCCATAAAGCCACTTAGCATTGCATACTAGAGATGTGATTTCTTTGCTTCCTAATTAAATAGATCAATGAACACTGTAAATGTAAGGTCTTGGCTAGATTTAGAAAACTGTAGAAAATGTAAAACCACCACACATGAACATTCTCTTGGAATTGTTCAAGCATTTTAAAATAAGTCTCTAGAATTACAGAGGCTCATAGACACTGTTGAAATTCAATGCAAAATAAAGAGATTAAGTATTGCTGGATGTCATTCTTACCTTTATAAGCAGTATCCTTAACTTTATATACACTTTAAAAACACACCACCCTTCCTAGTATGAGTAGCACCAATCAAATCAATTGTACAATTTTGACATTATCCTAGAGAGTCAAGAATTTTTTTGTTACGGTTATACAGTTGCTAAAAAATTATTCTATCCCTACAACATTTGTCTTCTTTCTTTTTTTACCGTAAAACTATACATATCAGCGCATTTTCCATCATATTAGAAAATAATGTCTGAAATGCAGATTCATGTTGGGTTTATTATTCCTTACTTGGTAAGCAACTTTTATTTTGTAATGCCTTCCTGAAGATTTTATCCAGTATTGGTACCATTCTCTTTTATTACGCATTATCAGTTTATTATCAGTTTACCTTTTGCGATAAAGGATGGAGGATGGAAAAGGGGAGAGAAATTATAGAAAAACAGCAGCAGAGAAGTCACATTATCTTTGCAGCTCCATCAGATTTTTCCACCTCATAATTCCATCACATTTTGCATGCACATTGCCTGTGGCTTTAGTGATTATAAAAGCACTAAACTGGAATTTACAGACTTCACAAAGTATGTAGCAATTGTTGAAATTGTTTTAAAGCAGTTAAAGCAGATAAAATATAAAGTAGTTTTATTTTCTTTTACTGCATTTTTACTTTTCTCCATTAGTATAACAAACATCTGGAAGAAATTAGAGCTGACTTCAAGGGGAAAAAAAGCCAACAAAAACAACAACAAAAAGGCCTGCTTCCCCAAATAGAGTGGAAATAATTCTATTAGAAACATTCCTTGATGTGTACATTCTGGTATGACAACTGAATAGAAAAAAATACATGCTGGAGAGGGATATGTTCACGGTCTTCATTATGAAAAAAAAAAAAAAAAAAATGTCATAAAAATGGAAAAAAAAAAAAAAAAAAGAGGGTGATTTGGAAAAAGTAATTTCCACCTTGATCCCTTGATTCCTTGATTTCCACTACTACAATAGTAATACTGAAAAGGAAAGTAGGATAGGATTACGGCAATTCATTAAATTATCTGTTTGCAACCAGGCTGGGAATTTCTGCTATATAACTATAATTTTTAGGACTGTGTTGCTAATTTTATGTTTTCAATTAATTAATGACTGACCAAGGCAATACCTCAAAGGCTGGAATCTCAACATTGTTCTATATGTAAGATTTTTGCAATAATATTTTGTCCCATATTTGATAAGCAGAATCTTTAAAAAAATCATCTGGAGGAAGTAATTGTCTTTCCAATTCTTCAATAGTAGAGAGATTTCCCTGTATTCCCCTTTCTGTTCCCTTCCTCTTTAATTTTCTATCTCATAGTCTGCCTGGCCTCAATACAGGAAAACCACTGAAGCCATAGGAATGAAGCTCCTAAATATTTTTAATGTTTTCCTCTCTGTTCTTAATGTGGAATGAAAAAAATATGAGTAGCATTGTCCATATTTCCAGTGCTACCAAAGGAAAGAACACTGTGGAAGACTGGAAGTTAAGAAAATCCTCATTTCTTTAATAGTCATGATAAGACATCATATTGTGAAGAATCTTCATCTTAACCCTATGCTTCTGCATTGCTGTGTTGGCCCAGATTTTTTCCAAGACAACTTTGACAAGCCAGTCAGAAGCTTATCCTACAGCTTCAGTGCATTATGGTCTTGCTAAATTTTCTCCTCTTCCACTGCTGAATGAGCACAACTTGAAGTTATATGTTTATCTGTAAATAAATGAAGATAAGAATTTCTATGTGGGTATTCAGGGAATAGGCTCCTTACCAGAGAGTGCTTTAGGAGAACTGGTCTGTATCTGTGGACTACTTGTAGTGCTATGCTATGAAATCATCATCTAAGTATTTTTTATTTGTGAAGATCCAGCTCAAACTTTTAGTATTAAAAACATATGTTGACGATATTTTCAGATATGAGTAAGAGAAAGCTTTTGTGATTTTAAAAGGACTGCAGTGGGTAGACATTCGAGTGACACATTCCCTCATCTGGGGGATATTCATATGACACAGGCAAACAGGCTGTTGTTATCGAGTGCTTTGTCATTGCTAACTCACAGTATTATTCAACACAGCCATGGTGATTACGGTTACTTGGTTCTTCTCCTTTAATCTACCAGACTAGCAATTTTATTCTAGTGATCTATTATTTCCTAAAATGTTAGGAAATAGTAATTTAAGAGATTAAGTGGGTGCACACTAAAGATTTAGTCAAAGGGGAATCTTGGTTTAAAGGCCTTAATTAAACCTCACATAATCAAAGTGAATATTCAGTGAGTTATTACAGCTTTAATCTGTGCTGTTATATCTGTGATTCAGCATGACACTACAGCTTTCATTTTTTCTCTTTTCCATCTAGAAGCCTTTGAAGGATAGCTTCTGCTATTCAATGCAGCATTTGGACATACTGGGAAGATTTTGAGTAGGAATGTCAGAGGATCTTTTTAAGCTTTGAGATTTCTTCCCTCTGTCAGTGTGAAGACAGACCTTTAGTTTCTCTTTCTGCCTTAATTTATGTACAAAGTATAGATACACAGAATAAAGGGCTATGCAGAAATGTAATGCTATTTTTAGACAAGACATTTATTCTATGCCAGAGGCTCTACACCCTCAAACATCTTCAGATCAGGTGATATTTAATGTGTTAAGCCTCAAAATGAAAGACATCTTTGCAAGTACTGCACTGCAGTCAAAAGCAGATAAGCATCTAAATATAACAGCTCTCCTGGTGTCAAGAGAATCCTCAGAAAATTAATAGCCAATGGTGTTCTAGGATACCAGATCCAAGGACTCTGGCGCACTGAATTAATGCTGTTGTTGGTCTCAAGGAATGCTCCTCTTTGGGGATGCTTTCCTACCTGTAAAGAGCAAATGAATAAAGATCTTGTCTTTCACAGCAAATAAATCAATATGCAAATGTCTTGAATATATTAAAATAATGTGTCTATATGGACAAGTCATGCAGATAAGTGGAGTGCTGATAGGTTATCTGTAGGAAGAGCTTTCATTTAAAAATATAAAAAGGCCTTAATGCTCTCCACAGATATCACTATAAATGATGAACAGGAAAAACAGCAAAAGCTTTGTTCAGGTCAATAAGACTGTATTTTATCAAACTTTAATACTAGTGAAGACACATCTATTTCAGAGCTGATAATAAAACTGTTTTATTGAAAAAGAGGCAGAAAAAAATTGGTGTTTCTCGTTTCTTTTTTTTTTTTTTTTTGGNTTTTTTTTTTTTTTTTTTTTTGGCTGATTAAATCAGGATCACTAGCAGAATAGTTGGTAGTGATTTCTTTCTAATAAAGGTTGCTTGCAATGATGGGAAACAAAGATGCCTTTCTGTCATCACACAGCTCAAAAGATGAATTTTCATGTAGCATAAGACTAAGGCAATTACATGGGTCACCAATGAAAGTTGATACGAAAATTCTATTCACCCTTCTGAAAAAAGGCTACCTGGGAATTGAAACAGATAATGGGAAAAGGCTGAATTGTTTTGTTGAAAATAGACCATCACTCTTAGTCTTTATTTTCTGATTTAAAGCATGAAACTCCGTTAAGTTTTTGAGAGATTTGAAGCTGCTTGAAGAGTTAATCAGACTCTTTTGTTTTTTACAGAATAGCAATACATAACTGGTATACATATCACAGCAATATTTAACTGTTATTACTATCCATAATCTGTCAAAAAGAAAATGCTTTTCAATTAACCCTAGAGAACTCCTGAATCTACACAGACTTACAGCCTTTCTATCTACCAGCTTTAGAGATAGATGTGCCCAGTTTGCTATTCTCCACTTTTCCTCCATATAGAATTGCAACTGTGTGACTGGTCAAAACCCATTCTCATATAAAAGAGTATGTGTATTTACTTTGTGAGTTCTTGTCTAATGCTATATTCTCTTTCCTATATGTCTTTCAATCTTCATTTTCAATTGTTTTTGCTCTTATCATTTTCATTTTATTTTTCCTGAAATTTAGCGGATTTAGCTCAAAAGGGGGAGAACACTGGGATTTTGTCTGACCAAGACAATATCCCTGTTTAGATGTCTGTTGAATTAAGTTTTCTCATAATAAATAAATTTAAATTAATATAAGCAAGCTAATTGATTTCATGTTTCAGATCCTGACATAATAAAGTAATGATAAGATGCTCTTTTTCTGTTTGCTTTTTATACAATATATTTTTCAGATGTAGTCTTGAGTCTAACTATTCCTATCCCAGGTCCTCTGGTAATAAAATGATGGTTTATGTTTACTGGTCAAGTATAGTAACTGAGGATGTTCCTATGTACTTTGTTTTGAAGCATTGCTTTTGATTACATTGTATTGATATGAAGTTTTCCCTGCAATTTTGATTGTATGTTCAACAACACAGACACCTTATCCACTGCTTGCAGATTTGTCTCAACATTCTTTGTCTTTCCCGACCTTCCCTGCAGTATCTTCCATCCCAAATTATTCCTCCATCCCTTGACCTTTTCTCTTGAATCATCTACATTGTTACCTCACATTTTCTTCTTCTTTCTCTCTGATTCTTATTTCCTCACCCTGAAATAGTCTTCTCATCCCTATGATAACACTTTATTTGTACTTACATCACTATCATTTAACTATCCTTAATTAGCGATTCTCTTGTGCACAAGTAGACACAAAAGAGCAATTTTAGTCATTTAGACTTCACCCACTAAATTTAAGGGTAATGGAAATTCTTTTGAAGACTTCAGAATATTGCCACACAAAACCATGAGAATTTTTTTAATGTGCATGTGAGCAAGACTTGTGATGTTATTAATAGACTTGAAAGCATTACTCGCTGTCTCCTAGATGAAAGATATATGACAAAATAAGGAAGGAAATATTCCCTAAGTCCATCATTGCTTGTATGAAGCAAAAGACACAACATATATCCTGGAGAATGCAATGTTCCTGCCTGCAGATAACTTGTTCACAATTAAATCACATAACCTATTCACAAACTCCTGACCTCACCTGAGAACTAACAGATGTCAAAACATGATTGTAGTCCGCTCTAAGTGCACACCACACTTTTTGAACTTCCATCTTTCTAAAATACCAATGTACATATTGTAACTTTTTTTATTGTGTGATTTCCAGGCTTAATGTATACCAAGATAACACGGTGATCAACACAGGACAAGAACACAGGAAAAGAAGCAAGACAAATGGATGAATGAATAATCTAGCCACTTTTTTTTTTTTTTCAAACAGATGCTTTCCATTCATACTACCAACTAGACTTTAAATACAGTCAATATGCAGCAGAGAGGAGCCATGCTAATGTATGAGGCCATAAATCATTGTATCCTTCTTATTTTTATCTGCTACACTGGAGTAAAAGAAACTGAAAACAAGGTATCCTCTCCTTATTATACTTTTTATCTCTACAGTTTGGTAGAGTTGGCCCATAGATGTTGCACATTTTTAGATGGGAAAATAAATGCTGCATGTGTTTTCACAATTATTGTACAGAGAGAAATATGAAAAAAATCTGGTGTGAAATTTCTGGAAAATACACAGGCATAGAAAACTAAGGTAGCATAAACATCTTTGCCTCTTTTCCTTGCAAAACAGCATAGTTTCAGAAAACCAAGAAGTGAAGCATATGCACTGAATTAAAAAAAAAAAAAAAAACCCAACTGTTCATATTTCAAGTGAATTGAAGTGAAATAAAAGTGAAAAATAGAAATGCAAAAGAATAGAAAGTTAGTATGATGCTCAGGAATTGTCACTTTTGGACTAATTGAAAGACTTTTAAAAACACTGAAAAGCTTGGATGAAAAGACAGTGAGAAGTTGGTGCATTACACAAAAGGCATCATTTATGCACCTTATCTGTAGTCTGCCTATTTGCATCTGAAAAATATATTGGCATGAAAAAATGCTACTGTGCAACTGGCACTGTGTAATGGAGAAATGACAGACAACATGAAATAGGTTGTTAAAAAAAAAAAAATCAGGATTAGAGAGGGCATCAAGAAGACATCTCTGGCACTGAGGTTCCAGAGTAGCAAAAATATTTTTAAAAACCCTATTATTTATTTGAAAAAAATATAAGTATATAGCTAAAAGTAGTGTGGTATATTTTGAGCATCCTAAACATACCTGAAAAGTAAACAGAGACACAATAATTCCTGCATGTTTTGTCTGTTTGAATAATTAACTAATTTTTATTGTTCAGTTGCTAGATTCAATTAGGTACTTATTATATTTCTTTGGCTACTCACACATCAGCATGGCTTTAAAAACCTTAAGGGTTTTTCTCAAATTCTCTGTACTTCTTAATGAATAAAAATATTGCCATATAATCACATCTCTGTTATCAGTTGCATTATTAACCTTGGCTATTAAAAAAAATATTTCTAATATGATGCCATATTATACCAAGGCAAACAAATGGAATTTCAATTATGAAATCTCTGACAAAGCTATAACAAACATGTCATATTATGGAAATTACTCTTCTGTAAAAATAGTCTGGAACTCCAGTCCTTTTTCAAGAGCCTAACAGACTTTCATAAAAAATGTTCATACAATGACTCTCTTCTTTATTACATTTCCATATTATCACTGAATACTTTATCTTTCATAATTTCTTAATATTATTAAAGCAGATATGATTGATTGTATGGCAAAATGTATGACATTAAGAAAGTGATTTCTTTGTTTCTGAAATGTTTCAAGGAAATTAAAGTGTTGAAAAAATTAAAATGAGCTAACAGAAGGAAAACCCTGTTTTAAAGGCTCCAAGAGCACTTTAATTGCTCTGACCAACAGTGTACCCAGTAACCAATACTGAGTTGGAATTTTGTATTTTGATACCTAGATATTTCTGAAACACAATGGTTAATAGCATATATGCATATATAGACATATATATACATATATATATATATATATATATATATATATATATATATATATATATATATATATATATATATATATTTATATATATGACTGGCCACTGTGCTGGTCCAGTGTGTGACACACCATGGAAGGGCAGCTCACATGGAAAATTCAAGGAAAATCAAGAAGTATCTTAATTATCAGTGCAATCAGTCCACAGACTCAGAGTTATCACAAGGTAAATAAGTTACAATACCATTATTCCTCCATCAAAAATTCCATCTGAATTTTTTTGGCTTATACTGCAAGCAGGAACTGTACCACCAAAGTGAGTCAGAGTCCTAGAGAGGCCTTGGCTCCATCCGCAGGTTAGGGGCAATCAAGTTCTGAACTGAATACACCTGTTACTAATATTGAAGTCTAAAATCAAGTTCAACTCATTATTTCTGCTATATATTCAGGGAATTATCTGCAATGAGAATTCATCCTTTATCACTGATGCAGACACCCTTAATGGTAAGATGTCAGCACTGATTTGATGTATTTTACCATTTTCCTCTGAACAAAACAAATAAATAAAAAAAATTAAAGGAAGTGAATTCTTACAACTAATATAATGCCCATACACCCACAGAGGAGTCATAGTGTAGTTCTGCTATATGATTCATTATTTTTGGTTCTTTTGTGCTTTTCTTTAATGAATTTCTCTACTGGGCATATATCTGGTATGCAGTCATGAAATTGCAATAGCAAGAAGTAGTATAAAATAAATTACTCTTATTTGGATGTTCATTGCATTCAAATAAACTTTATAACTATAAAATCAAGTGTTCATAATTCTATGACTTTATAATTTGTTTTATTGCAGTGAAGACACTTATGACTAAATATTTGGGACCTAAGGGCAAACCTAACTGCCAAAGTCCTTCATGATTTCTGGAGAAAGACCTGTCTGCGCAAACTGAGGCACAAACATTAAGCTTAATAAAAGAATTCCTATTTCAGTTCATAAATGTAGGATAAACAAATGCAGTTCTCTAAATATTTCACCTCATGCCATTTGAAACTCTCTGTAGTAGCTGAGCCTTCTGCATGGGATATGAAAAACCCTGTGTCCTTTGGAGGGATAAGCAGAAATCAGGGGAATGATGAAATGCATCAAAACCACTATGAGATTGTTATGTTTAGGCAATGAAATGTAGTTCTCTGTCAGATACAGCTGAGGCAACAGTTCAGCTGATCAAATGTTAGTATCTGCTGAAACATGAGTTGGGTTACTCTGAATCCTTTGACTAGAAATCTGTTAGCAGGTGGGGCTTGAATGTTTATTTTGTGTGGAAATACCCACACAAAGCTACCACGAGGACAGTGCCACTATCTGATGCTGAATTCCCTCCTGGCACTCACATTCAAGTCACTGACAAAGAGACCCAAAGAGATTCTTGCCTTTCTATACCGTGGTTTTCAATGCAGTTATATGCTGACAGACATTTAGATAATTTTTTCTTACTGTTATTGAATAATACCATACCTATAAAATAGCAATTTTGCTGCAAGATGCTTTTATAGCTATGGTTGTGAAAGAGTGTTTTTTCCCTTGTTACATGCCATTACCTTCTTATGTGTATAATTTTCATCACTTTAACGGTAAGTTTTCATATTTTAGACATTGATGAGACAATAAATTTGGGGCAATTACCTGATTTTTCTTTTTATGTCTTTGATTCTTATAAAATGAGGAACTGCAGTGAGAGTTCCCTATTTTCTTTTCCACATCTTTCTTGAGTTTGAAAAGACATAATTACAAACACTTTGAAGTAAAAGCATAGGCATAATTGTGCAAAATGCTGTTCAGCTGTTGGCTACTCATTCTTTATGGCTTATATCCCTTGTTTGTATGGAATTAAGACTAAATTGTGCAGGTGTTTTCCTGAAAAAGCCAATGTCTCTGCAGACCAGGTGAGGATACTGTGCAATAATGAAAACATTATAAACTTTGAAGCATTTTTTTCAACAGCATTAGAGATAAACAATAGAAAGTGATAGCATGGAACCCTGTCTGTACTCTTCATAGTAGCTTATCACCTTGCACTAGAAATAGGATATCTGAGATTCAGATAAAAGCATAGCTTTTCCTTCACACAAGATGCTCATATCACAAGGGTATAGCTCCAGATTGAAAAGAAAATGGAAGGTAAGATACTGCCTTTCTCTCCTTTAATGCTGTATAGAGAGAGAAATTTTTGCTTCTCTGGGAGCTGGCTTCATTGTAAATAGAAAATTTTCTATATTAAAGCTATAAAAGGGTATAAGAAGTAGATTTTCAACTGACTTTGCTATACAAAAATAAGGCAAATGTTGTATACCTAAACCCAAAATGCAGAAAATTTACACGTTAGTACAATATTGCAATATCCAGAAGATACTTAATTCTTTACCTGGAAATTTCCTGTTTATTTGCAATTTGACTTTCTTTGGTATGTCCTTTGGTATGTCCAGAGTTAACAGTGGAGAAAAGCTTGATACTGGTGTTATCCCTGTATGCAAATCCCAGCAAGATTTACAAAACAGGGATGTTTACCTTTATTTTCACTGGAATGAGGATTTGGTGCACCTGGACTCTGGTAGCAGCTGGGTCTGCTGTGTGAATGGGGAAGTATCTGCCAAAGGCAGGCCTGGCATGGCAGCAATGTGTGGGCAGGTGTTTCCACAGGTTGTCTGCCTGGAAAATTGCATGAGAATATGCCAGGTGCAGAAACACACTGAAGAGTTCCATTACCTCTAGTGTTTAAGAGATATATTGGCTAGAGGAAAAAGAGAGTTCTGCATTGTAAAACTGTAAGATGCAGACATTTCAAAAGGAAATTGATATCCCAGAAAGTTTGACTTTCATCTTTTGATTCCTATGTTTCTCAAGGAGCTGAAGCTAATATCCATTCCCAAAGAAAGTGTGCGAAGACAAATCACAAAATTTCTTAGTTCTGTTCTGGCCTGGCCTTTGCAATGATTGAGTTGCTCAAACTCAGATGGAGTAAACCTGTAAAAAATCTTATCCAGTGATGCTTGGGATACCTGAGAGTGAAACAGCAGGGCAACATAAAGGATATAGATATATTCATGGAAAGACAATATATGAATAAATATGTTTCTCTGTGTTTGCATTTATGATATGTGTGTAAATAAGGTTGTAGAATACTGTGAAAAACAATACTAAAAAAATCTAATCTAAATCTGCCTGCCTACAACTACTAACAATTACTACTAATAAGCACAGGATAGTTCCATCCCTTTTCCCATCTGACATATGTTCCATTTAGCATTAATATAATTATTTTAAAAATAATGTATTTACTTCATAATGTAAATTTAATTTATACTAAACATCAATTTTGCTTGTATAATAACAATAAAAATTATAATAGATGGTGTTTTATGCTTGTACTTGGAATGTTCACAAAGCTGACCATTGATGGGATAATATTTTGTATTATGATGGTTTCCAGTAATGTAACAAGTGGAGAAGTCATGGCTAGTGTTTTACTGCTTTGAACATTTGCTATACAGTCCCACTCAGAAACTTTTTTGTTATCTGTCCTGGGTTAAGCCCAGCTTGAAATTAAACTTCAGGCAGCTGCTCCCCGAGCACCCCTCTCTCCTTGCCACCCTGGTAGAATGGTAGGAAAATCAAATTAAAACTTCTAGGCTGATATAAGAACAGTTTAAAAATAGAGTGAAAATGTTTAATGATAGTAATAAAAATTATTATTGATATGAGTAATAATATAATGGAAAAAAGCTTCAACAAGTGACTGACCAATGCCAGACTCTCCTTGCTCAGTCCAGCTCAGCCCCATTTTCAAGTAACTTCCCCCAATTTATATACTGGGCAATTTATATACTGGGCATACTGTATAGTGTGGAATGTCCTTTTGGCCAGTTTGGAACACCTGTCCTGGCCATCCTCCTGCTCAGTTTTCTTTTGAGTCCTTCCTCACTTGCAGACCTCACAAGACCAGGAAAAATGTCATTGACTTAAAATAAACATGACTTAGCAAAATCCAAAACATCAGCATATTATCAACACCATTCTCATTTTGAATCCAAAATACAGTACTGTAACAGCTCCTGAGAAGAAATTCAGCTCTATTCCAGCTGAAGCCAGGACAATATCTCAATAAGATCAGGTAAATTTGAATGAATGATGTAAGAGTCATGTACCAACTGCAAGAAATAAATCACCTACTAAAGCTAAATTATAGAAATTCCACAAACTGTAGCTGAGTAACCAAACTTGATGCTCGTAATTATTTAGACAACACATGACAAAGCCTATGACAAAACCCACTGCACATGATTATTTTTGTTTTTACTGGGGGAAAAAAGGAAAAAAACTCATATTCAACTTCTGATCTACAATTCATAACAGAAAGATGTGGTTTGTCCTGATTCTATGAATTTACCCTACCAATTAAACCAAAATATAAGTAGAATATGAAAATTTCAAGTATGGTAATGATAATTTCAAGTACTGTGTATGATAGAGAGACAGACAAGCCATTTGTGACTATTTGATGGGCTGGATAACTGAAAGGCATCTAAACTGCCAAATAGATCTCAAAGTAGAATGTGGAGAAAGAGAATGACATGAGATGAGATTGTCATTGTGAGATCAGGAAAAGAACATTAGCACCAATGGATAAGAAATGGATAAGAAAGCATCAGTGAAGATGGACTCAGCAATGTGAAAGTACATCTAAAAGGCTGCCTTCAAACTCTGGGAACATTTTTGTTCATTACTGCAGTCGTGTCCTTTCTCCACCAAATATATTTCCTTAATAGAAATATTGTTATCAACATTTATCTGTTCATAAATTATTCACATCTGTTTAATATCTGAACTTGTAAGGTCCCCAGGGCTTCTTGTCCCACCAGCTTGCAGCACCTGATATGACAGGTAGAAGTAATGGGCTGTAGGAGTGTCATAACATCAGCTCTTCTCATTGCGGTGAAGTTCTGTGTCTCATCAGTTTTGTAATTGACCAAGATCTGTCACTGACACTTAACTCATATGAACGCTGTTTTCTTTCCCCACCAAGACCTGGAAAACACTGGTAAGCTATCGCTGTTCCCTGAGATTCTCTGCCAGCACTGTGATCACAGGTATCCCTGTGCTGTCCTGCAAAGTTTTCTTTATTTCATTTTCGATCTCTCTTAGCTCTTGGGACCGAGCAAGATTTTGTCTTCACTGAAGTTGCAGACAGCAAAGAAAAAGCTGTGCATCAGGAAAGTTGTTTTCTTAATCTTGTGAAGCTTTAGCTGTCGACTTCACCCTGTACCATATGATGTGAGCTAGACCACGTGTTGGCTCTGATTCAGCAAAACAATTAAGGGCATATTTTCAAAGGCACAAATGGCAGTTATGCAATGATTTGCAATTGAGGATGAAAATCTTAAATATCTGGATGACATCTGTGACCTTTAGATTTGGGCCTACAACCTGTGTAGCTGCCAGTACTTCTTTCAGGGTATAACAACTCAGCAAAAGGTAGAAGTGTCTGACAGTGTTTTAGGACAAATTATTACCAAATCTTGTCATACTTACTGTCACCCGTATGCAGAAAATACAAAAGCGCATCCACTGTATGACTTAGACAAAAGGGTTTCACCAGCTGCATTCCGCACAGAGTAGCTCCCTTGGGAACAGCATACTTCTCCCTTGGTAAGATTAGTTCTTAAAGAAAAATATTTGAAAAAAAAAAAGGAATTAATATTTTATATAGAACAAGTTGGATACAATTTTATCACTGTCTTCCTACTTTCACTGTCACAGAACAGCTGGAGGTCTAATAAATGTTTTGTAAGTGTGTTGAAATGTCAGTCAGCACAGTTGCAAAAGTGTCTGGAAGTGCAGTGAAGTCTGGAGTAACAGTGTTAAATGATCATACTGACATTGTATATTGTTTGATGTCTGTTGTTTGCTTCTCTGCCTCAGACTTGTCTGGAAACATTTGCTGTCATCAAACAGCTTTCCATACTTCTGTAGACAAGAAGAAAGAAAAAATTATAGACTGTATGAAGCAAGAAGAGAGAAAGTCAATAAAATTGATTGCGTTGGTTTGCCTCTTAGGTCACAAAAAACAGAAGCCAGGAACAAACTTTCTAAAATCAGTGAGGCAAATTTTTCTTTGACTTATGTGGAAATCAAGAGTAATTTTAATATCAATAACTGTAGAATAAGCCTAAATTCTCAAGCTGCTCTTTGAAAAGGTTGTGAATGTAAAGATGCCTCTTTCAGTTCCTGACCAGCCCAGGAGCAGAAGCAATTGAAATATCACAGAATCACAAGGTTGGAAGAGACCTCCAAGGTCATTGAGTCCTACCCCTTCCCTAACACCTCAACTAAACCATGGCACTGAGTGCCACATCCAGTCTTTTTTTAAACACATCCAGGGATGGTGACTTTACCACCTCTGCAGGCAGATCTTTCCAGAACATTATCATTCTTTCAGTGAAAAATTTTATCCTAATATCCAACCTATATTTCCCTTGAGACAACTTGAGACTATGACCTCCGGTTCTGTCAGTTGCTGCCTGGAGAAAGAGACCAACCCTCACCTGACTACAGCCACCTTTCAGGCAGTTGTAGAAAGTGATAAGGTCACCTCTGAGTCTCCTTTTCTCCAGGCTAAATACCCCCAGCTCCCTCAGCCATTCCTCACAGGGTTTGTGTTCCAAGCTCCTCACCAGCCTCGTTGCCTCCTCTGGATGTGCTCCAGCGTCTCAACATCCTTCCCAAACTGAGGGCCCAGAGCTGGGCACAGCACTCAAGGTGTGCCCTCACCAGTGCCGAGTACAGGGGGAGAATGACCTCCCTGCTTCTGCTGGCCACACCATTCCTGACACAGGCCAGGACACCCTTGGCTTTCTGGGCCACCAGGGCACACTGCTGGCCCATGCTGAGCTGGCTGTCACCAGCACCCCCAGGTCCCTTTCTGCCTGGGCACTGCCCAGCCACACCGTCCCCAGCCTAACACTGCAGGGGTTATTGTGGCCAAAGTGCAGGACTCGGCACTTGGGCTTCTTAAACTTCATCTTATTGAACCCTGCCCATCCATCCAACCTTTCCAGGTCTCTCTGCAGAGCCACCCTACCCTCCAACAGATCGACACACGATCCCAGCTTAATGTCGTATTACAGAAAACACTCCTCTCTCTCACAAAGCATTTTTCATAATAAAGCAAGTTGCAAAGTAATATGAATATTTTTTTACTGACAAATACTCTGTGATGTTCTCTGGCCTGTTCCTGAGGGTTGTTTTGATTTAGGGATAAATATCACGTGATGAAGCCATTTAAAATATATGTATGTTATTCTTTGCAATTTCAAGATCCAACAACTTGCTCAATTCAAAAGATCTTGAAGCAGATTGTCTCTGAAGAAAATAAAAAATAGTAATTTTGAGACTGATTGGAAATAATGACAAATATTTTCAGGAATGTCAGAGCAAATCTGTAATAAGGCTACATATATAAGAAAAGTTGAGAAGATTTACCCAGATTAGTTTTCATTAATAAAGACTGATGTTCCCTGGGAAATGTGTGAATCAAAACTTAATTTTGTGCTTGACATGCTTATTCCATTTTGAGAATTTGATATTTTGCAGTGAGGACAATACATAATTTATATTTGAAAGGGGATGGCATTTTTCATGCTTTTGATTAACAAATGAGCATTATGAATCTGATCCAGGAAATTCCTGCATATCTCTGTGAGGAACTGATTTTTCTCATAAAGTCTAGCAATTTATATAGAAACTACAATGAAAGTTATCTGACAGACTTCGTATAGAAGACATAAATAAGCATTATGATTTCAAATAAAAACTGAGCATTGTGAAATAGCTTAATGCAATAGTCCAGTGAAATAGTTTATGTATTGAATCTGTTGTAAACTTCCTGTTTATACATTCTTTATTAAAAGATGAGGTCTTGTTATTCTAAGGATGAAGGGATTGGGAATCTTGTTCCGAGTGCAAAACTGGCTGAGCCCATCTGATGGCAAAGTGCTCCCATCCCCAGCCTGCCCCTGGCAGCAGACTCCCACCAGCTCCCTTTTCTTGGCTCTTGGACAGCCTTATAATGAGCCAATTTAAACTGGCTAAACAGTGCTAAAGCTCAGAAAAATATTCAGTGTCTTTGTTACATTTTTTTTCCCAATTTGTGGGTGAACCAGCTCATGGTGGAACCACAAAAGATCAGTTTCTGGGTGGTGTGTAAAGGTCAGGGGTGCAGACCTGTCTGCACATATGCCAGCAGCTCTCAGTTGGATGAGCTCCATCTTATCCTTATTAACTGTCCTTGTGTTCCTGAGGTTTTCCTCCCAACAAAGTACTATGTCACATAACAAGACAATAAAACCTGATGTAAAGGAGATTGTCTTTCTAGAATCAAGACAGAAAAGAGAGTTTGGATCAACCCATGAGATAAAAGATAGTGGTATAATTTAGGTAAAAGGTAAATTTAATTAAAAGAAAGAAGTCATGGGGCTTGCAGGGAAGCTGGCAGGGAAATAAAATACTAGGGTGAGAGGGAGTCAAAAGAAATATCAGAAAGAGGCATGTGTACAGGCTTGAGCAGCTTTGCAGGTGTTGATAATACTCCATACTGTTAATATGTGAGTGAAAACAGAATTGCTTCCTCACTTATAGGTCAGGAAGACTTCATGATATTGCTAATAATTTCACAAATCCCTGTTGGCTGTCTAGTTATTATGTTCTGTCTATGGGGAAGAGAAATAAACTTTAAATAATAGGCAATAACACATTTTTGGGAACCAAATATTCCAGGGACTTGGTTCTTCAAAGGCAGGTGGCAGGTGTTCTACATCTTTTTATGTTAGCTATTTGTGATCACCAAGACCCTAGGGTAATTTTTAGTGAACAGAGGAAAAAATTATTTATTTGAATTCATACAAATTAGTAAATTTTTGTCTAATCCTCCTTTATTATACAGAAAACCATTGGTAATTACCATTACCATTGAGAATTCTGCCACATATGGTCACTGAAAGAGGCTAATCAATTCATGATGGTGAATCTATTTGTCAGATGTCACTATTGATTTTTATGTTTCCAAAAACTATGATGGTCATTTATTGAATCATTGTCTTTGATTTCTTTTGTCTTGATATAAAAAGTCTCATCAAACTGCTATATACAGGTACTTACAATTGAAGCAAAAATTTGTAGCACCTGAAAGAATTTTGAAAGAGAGGCTTAAGAGATTTAATCTATTTGCATCACCTAATATGCAGTGTCTGTCTTTAAAAGAAGGAAATTCTTTGGTCTTTAAGGATTTTTCAAACTTAAGCTCAATAGGAGCTTCCATGTGGGTCCCTGGATGAAGTCTGAAAGACCAATGCTTTGTGATCAGTTAGAGCAGGGGAAAGGAGCAGTTAGATGCAGAAAATCCTTCCTCTAGCTTACCAATCCTGAGACAAGCAGTTGTGGGTTTCCAGACAGTAAAAGCCTTGTGGATGAAAGGCAAAGAAAAAGCCTGCTGATAATAAGAATTGCTGGTGGTTGGAAGCAACCCCAGATTCTGCTAAATTTCATACTTTTGCCCCTCAGAATGCTGATGTTTCTGCCCAGGTTAGCTGTAAGCTCTGTGCAATGAGTCAGCACTGCTCTCACAGCCAGGGTTTTTTAGGCACACATTATGGATTAAAATAACTTCTTTTGAATCATGAACTGATCGTGATCAGCTATGATCAAAATAAGCTGACATTCCCACAACAGGATCTATGTTTTACATAATTTTGTGTTAGCTTAGTTAACTTCTCCTTTCTGTAATTTGAATGAAAGAGAAGTGTTTTAAAACATCATTTCCTTAATGGACATTAGTGCCACTGTTTCTGCAGAGAAGCTCTTCTTTTTTATCAACTCTCTTGGAAAAGAAAAAAATAAAGTACAATTATCTTGATGCAAAAATAGATAATGACTGCAAAGCCATTCCATTTTGCAAGGGTAGATAAGATTAAGCTATAATATAGACTGATTTTTTATTCACTCATCTAAAGCTAGTAAATGTGTAAATTAACAATAGTAACTTCTTTTTACCAAATCTCTCTGGTTTTCTGTTCCCTTCATTTTCCCAGTCTAAATTAACAGGAGTACAGCAGTGAGCTACACAATAGAAAACAGAGAAGTATCCTTGCAGTATTTCTAGCTGAAACAAGGATATGAAATACTATATGAAGCAGCCAAGCACTCAGAGTCATCTAGGATATTGACCGCAAATTTTTTGAGAAAGGGCTCTCCATTCACTGGTTATTTACTCATTCTAATAAATTTCCCCTGCTTTCTTCATTTGTTCAAGTATTTGAGAATAGATAAGTAATCTGGGAAATTTTCCAGTTTCAACTATAAAGTAATAAATAATTGAGCTCCTTGGCACTTAATGCATGAAATAGGATCCTTGTGGTCTGAAACAAAGACTGAATTCAACAATTTCACTCTGGCAAACTCTATTTTCACAGTGGAGTTGCCACTATGAAGTTACAGTTCTGTCTGCAGGATACAGAGGCTGTTCTCAGAGGCTGTTCTAGTACCGAAATGAATTGATTTAGGAATCGTGATTGTCTGTAACTTTCACTTACAGTGAAAAGCATTTTATTTTTACCAGACAGGAGACATTTGATTGCTTATAAATCTGTTCCAGGGAAGAAAT